GAAATTTCGACTTACTAACTCGAAATTTCGACTTACTAATTCGAAATTTCGACTTACTAACTCGAAATTTCGAGTTACTTATCTCGAAATTTCGACTTAGTAACTCGAAATTTCGACTTATTAACATTACAAGAATGGCCAAAGTTATTAGTTAGATGGTATAAGATATAGTAGGCAGTGCCTTTGAACGATGGAGATGGAGAAACGGGTGCCTGGACAAAAACTAAGGAAATTTAACTTAAACTTAGTAATGGCATATTCACACCCGACCTAAAAAAAACAAGGCTTCCTTTAATTTGTACGTTCAGGCGGTCTTCAGCTCATCTGTTCGAACATATCTTTTCGCTAATCATATTCTTCTCATCCCTGTAAAAAAACCGATCCTATACATCGCGTGTGGGACATCTGAGGAAAGTATCGCGGCGTGGACAAAATAGGGCGTGCTGAGGCCTTTGTCAAAATTGTTGGACTGACTATATTTCTTGTAAAATCGGATGCTTTTATATCATTCCCAACATATTTATAACAACAAGTATCACTTTTATCAACTTTTATCAACACAATATCAAAGTATTAGTAAATAATGAATAATGTTACAAAAACATTATTAGTATAAAGAAACGTGACAGACTAACTGGCGTATACACGCCAATTAAAACTTATTTAACACATGATATTGCACAGTTTACAATAGGGTGGGTTTTGGACTTGTTGTTTCTCCACATGATGGTTGTATGTGTGCTTAGTATATATCTTATACCATCTAACTAATAACTTTGGCCATTCTTGTAATGTTAATAAGTCGAAATTTCGAGTTACTAAGTCGAAATTTCGAGATAAGTAACTCGAAATTTCGAGTTAGTAAGTCGAAATTTCGAATAAGTAAGTCGAAATTGCGAGTTCGAAATTTCGAGTTAGTAAGTCGAAATTTCGAGTAAGTCGAAATTTCGAGTTTGTAAGTCGAAATTTCGAGTTAGTAAGTCGAAATTTCGAGATAAGTCGAAATTTTGAGTTTGTAAGTCGAAATTTCGAGTTAGTAACTTGAAATTTCGAGATAAGTAAGTCGAAATTTCGAGTTAGTAACTCGAAATTTCGAGTTAGTAACTCGAAATTTCGAGTTAATAAAAAACATACGCCTGGCACTAATGCTCTTCCGTACAAAAGCCAATTTTCAAAACGCATTATATTTTGATATTCTAACGATTTCTTAGAATTAAAAAAAAAACATTTTATCTTTGAATCGACAAAACAACGGTCCGATTTGGACCATTTTGAAGGTGTGCGATGACGTATTCTAACACGACTGGCATTTTTCCTATTAAAACATAGAAAACCCGGGAAAGTGGGGTTTTATTATGCTAAAAAATTTCACTGTTTAAACTTTCTGTATTAAGAATTTGACGAAAATCATTAACATAGTAACCAAAAAAAATGTGCCCGCGGGGAAAAGAAGTACGGAAACAAATCAGGCGAAATTTTAGCTATTATCTTTAAATGGGCAGCCTTATTTTTTAAAACCGGGTTAAAAAACCCCCAAATAATTTTAACCAAAAAATCGGGTTTTTTAAAATTTCCCTTATTAAAACCACTGGTTTGCCCTTTTTCGGAATGGCATCACAAGGGGGCTACCGCCCCCTTTGGATAAAACCCCCGCAGCAATCCAAACAGTGGAAAAATTTATTTAGAATAACAATTTGGGGAAAATAATATTACATTTGAAATTTTTGGCGAACCAGTTTTTTTTTTTTGGGAAAAAATTCAGTTTTCCCCAGTACCAAAAGGGCTCCCAAAAAAATGGCCAGATTTTTTTTCATTGACTTGATCCCCGGTTTTAAAGGGGCCCGGGGGTTGAAGAAGGAGTTAAAAGGCCAGGAAAAAACCAGAAGGTAAAAAAAACCCGGGAAAAGGGGGAAAAAATTACCCCCCCCATTTTAATCACCCCAGAGGAAGTTAATTTTAATAAATTTCATTTCTGCCTTTAAACAAAAAAAATTAAAGAAAAAATAAAGGGGAAAAACACAAGGGAAAACGGGGAAATTAAATTTAAGAAAAGCAAAGACCTAACCCAAAAAAATTCCCCCAAAACGACCCACGGGAGACCAAAAGTTGGGGGTTTTTGTTTTTTTTTTTTTTTTTTTTTGGGGGTTTGTTTTTTTTTATTAAAAAAAAAAGTTTTTTCCCAATTAAAAGACCCAACGAAAACAAAACAACCCACGAAAAACCAACAAACAAAACAAAAAGGGAAAATTTAAACCAAAGGAAAAAGGGGCGAAAACCCCAAAAGGCCAATAACAACGGACAAAAAAAATAGGACCGGGGACAAAAACCAAAAACCAAAAGGGCCCCGGACAAACGGGCCATCCCCAAAAACAAAACAAGGGGTTAAAATTAATCCGGGGGGAACTTAACAACATTAACCAAAAACCCCGCAAACAAAAACAGCCAAAATTTTAAAAAAGGCCAAAACACAACCCCTTCTGGGGGGTAAAACAATCCGCTGCCTTGTCAAAAATATACCTAAACCCCTTAATTTGTTTAAACCGGAAATTTTTACCGGAAAAGGAAAACTGAAGAAATAAATATTGAAATTTAGAAATTACCACTAAAAGTACGGAAAACCCCACTAAAAATAAAGGGTTTAAAAGGAAGATGATAATTGGGGGAACCAACATTTAAAGAAATTTGGGGGTTCCCTTTTGGGGGGAAAAAATGTATAAAAAAACTTCAAAAGGGGTGGGTTTTTGTCCAAGGGGGCCGGTAATGGGGCCTTTTTTAAAATAAAGAAAATTAAAATTGCCAAACCCCAAAAAAGGAAAAATACAGAAAAACCTTATGGAAAAAATGGGAAAAGGGGGACAGAGTTTTAGGGAAGAAACAATTCCAAAGTTTTTTGGAGGGCCGGGGTTCCCATAAAGGAATGTTAAAAATATAGTAAACGACATTATTCGAGTATGAAAGGGTCATTGTTTATTAAATATTTGTTAATTTTTCTTTGAGAAAATTGCAGGGGGCTTTTAAAGAAAAAAAACCAATTTTTCTTTTAACAAAGGGAAAGGGAAAAATAACAAAATTTTAAGGCAAAATGTATTTTTCCCGGGCCGGTGCAAACTTTTTCAACCCCAAATGTTTTGGGGTTGGTTTTAATTGGGGTTTTAAAGTTCTTTTTTCGTGTCACAAAAATTTTAATAGAGTTCATGGAAAAAAAGGGGTTTATCAATTTTTGAAACCTTTTCACAATCAACGTAAAATTTTAAATTAACCTTCTTAAAAAATTTTTGGACGAAAGGAAAACGATTTTAAAAACGAATTTTTAAAAAAACCACAAACAACTTTTGGGGGCAATGAATTATATTTTTAAAACCAAACCACCCAGGGGTTTTTTTTCCGGGGATTTTAAAGGGGGCAAACCCCCGGTTTAATTACAAAGGGGAAAAAGGGCACGTAAAAATTTAAAAAATTAAAAAAAATTTTCCCCCACCGGGTTCCCCCTTTGGTTTTTGGGGTTTTAAAACTATGCCCCCTCTTGGAAAGCCAGTGGGGATTTTTTGATTTTTAAATTTTGTTCCATTCGGTTTTCAGTTTAAATTTTAAAAGTTTTTTTCCACCTTTTAAAAATCAAAATTACGAATCCTGAATTAAAAAAATTTTAGAACCACAAAATCATCCTTTTTATTAACCCCCTTTTGGGGTATTTGTTTTTTTTAAAGAGGAAAAATATTTCGGTTTAAAATTAAACAAAAGGGGTTTATTTTTTTATAAATTTAAAAAAAATCCCCTTTCCCCAAACAATTTTTTGGCGAAAATTGGCCCTTTAGGGGAAAAAAACCCTGCGAAAAGGGAGCAAAAAATGGTCCAAAAAGGAAGGAAAAAAGAAAGGGGAGAAGAAAGGGAAAAAAAAAACCCTTGCAAAGTGAAAAGCAAAACATTAAAAAATAGTTTAAAACCCCAGAAAAAGAGAAAAATTAGCGTGGAAAAAAATTGGATGCAAGAGAAAAAAAATTTTTGGCGGGTTTTTTCAAAAGTATAAATGTTTGTTTTTGTGTTTTCAATTATTAAAAATTTTTCCCCCCTAAAAAAATTACTAAATTTTATGGGTTTTTATTCATTATAAAAAAAATTTTAAATTTTATTTCCACACTTAAACCCTACCCACACCAAAAAGTAAAAAAACCCCATTTTAGACCGAAACACAAAAGCCCAAAACCCAAAGGGCAAATCCAAAATTATTAACTAAATCTTTCCCAGAAACCAGGGTTGTGAGGGAAAATTTAAGAATTTTAAGAAGAAAATTGTAAAAAGGGAAAATTAAAAGAAAAAGGGGGGCATTTTTGGGAATTTAAAACCTTGGGGCAAAATAAAATTTTAACTTTAGGAAAACAAAAAAAAACCGGAAACCCCCCTTGGGGAACTTGAAAAAAAAAAAAAACGCGGGTTCAAATTTTTGGTAAAAGCTAATAAATGTAGCAAAGGTTGCAAAAAATCCTTAAGTTTTCTGCCCCCTTTGAAAACGCCCGGAGACAAAAGGGGGAAAAAAAACCAGGTTCAAAATAATTTTAACAAATTTTCCCCAACCGAAAACGAAAGAGATTAAATTAAAAAATTATTAATGCCGGGGACAGGGGGAAAACAGCGTTCAAAAAACCAAAGAACCCCCCCTTTCCTGTCAAAACCCCAGGCCAAAATTAAGCGGCGCGCGGAAAGGGGGCAGTGGGGGTAAATTTGAAAAATATATGAGCTTTAAACCGGGGGAAAAAATGTTGGAAAATTATCATTCTTCAAGGAATCCCAAGCCACAAAAGATAATTTTCAAGTTATTTGGGGTATCCCGGGGGCGGGAAAAGGGGAATTTTAGGGTAAATTTTTGGAAATCCATTCCAAAAATTGGGAAAAAAAAGAACTAATAGGGATTCAAAAAGGGGATTAATCAAAAAGGGTTTAATTTAAACTTTTTCGGGAAGGGGAAAAGGGGAATTTGGGGAAAGGGGGAAAAGAGTATCTTAATGACTGCAGGTGAATAGTTTCACACCTGTGCCAACGTCAGCCGGCAGGTTACAATCTTATCACAAAAGTGGCAAACCTGTAGAACCACGAGTTCTTACTACATCGGCAAACAGTTCTTCCTTGCCAGTTACTTCATTTTGTGCACCCATGTTTACCTCAGATAATAGTTAAAATAGCTTTAAAAGAGCTATTAATATGAAAAATAATATATCATTTTAGTGACGTCACTGTGTAGCAACTTACAGACATGTTACAACTGTGGTGTGGAGTGTGGTGGCATGGAATTAACTGGTTTGAACCAGTCGGAATGTATAGCGTACTTAGATCACACATCAGTATTTGTGGTGGAGTACCGTCCTTCTGTTACAAAGTGTGTGTTGGGCTCATGCAACGGAATCGATTATAAGAATCCAAACTTTTACGATGACGTCAGAGCATTTAGATACACGTGCACAACAGGTATGTTTTTAATATATTTCTCTATTTTTCAATAAGAAAATAATGTCATTCTTAGTATTTGATTTTCTTGCACTTTTTTGTGATTGCGTACATCAAGAATTAGGAAAAGAACTTGTGTAGGAACGACATTCGGACATCGTCATTTCGCAATTCCAAATACGGAAAAAATATGTCGTTTATTAGGTAGATATCTATTTAAAATTTAAGTGTTTTTTATTCTTAAAATCGGTTTTATTGGATAGTGCAATAAAAATAATAGTCATATTCAAAATCAATTTTTATGCTTTAAATAAATCATTTGATAATTATGGCGGAAAATTTAGAAATTGTTAAAGAATTGATGGATTTTGTGAGCATGAGGTCTATTAGAAAGTATCATGTAATTCATTAATATTTTAAATGAACAAAATAGTTTTACTCTTTCCTCTTAACTGTAGCACAAAAGCGCTGAAAATTGTTTCCTTGAACGGTTTTCAGCGTTATTCATTCATGCTGATGAATGGATGTTGATGTTATCATTAAAAAGAGGCGAACGGCTGATGACGTTACTCAAATTTGACGACACTCAAACTTAAATACCCTATAACTTTAACAAAAACGCATTTATGAAGGTACGGTTTGGAATATTTAATGACAAAATGTTGACGTTTACAAATCGTTTGATATAGAGGATATTTGTTTGTTTGTGTGTAAGATGAAATTTTATTTCATTGAGTGGGCTTTAAAAACAGTATTCTCACGAGTAGCCACGAGTGAGAATACTGTTTTTAAAGTTCACGAGATGAAATAAAATTACATCTTACACAACAAACAAACAAATTTTCTTTTTATTTTATGCTTAAAAACAAGTAAAAACGAAATTTCCATAATTTTAACGTTAATATTAAAAATCTGTTTTCCCCATTGAGAGCCCCATTTAGTCGGAATTTCTCATTAAAAACAAGAAGTCTTGAGCTGAAAATAAGTCCGCCAATCAACGTTAAATGACGGTGATATTTATTCATTTTATTAAAAAAATATGAATGATCGCTTGTTTTAATAATAAAAACGAACAATTCTTGTAGGAGAAAAAGTCCAACCATCCATCCATATTTCTGTTACTTACTGCGAATTTATATTAGACCTGGCTTTGTAAAATGTAAACGGCAGCCATTTTTTAAAGTTGTGTATTTCATGGGAGGAAAATAATTGTGTAAGATTCAAAGGGATATAATTTGGATTTGTAAGTCATACACCTTTTTAAAAGAAAGAAAACTTATTTGAGGATTGTAACAGACAAAAAATAGGTGTTGACAGATGTGAAAACATTCAAAAAAGGAGCTAGGAAAATGGAAAACTTGGAAGCTTGCTCAGAAACGCTGGGTTGTTTTACTTATTTTTCGAGTGATGGCTGTCATTGCTTTTCAATTTTTCATAAAGCATACGGCAGTTATTGCTCGTAGGATACTTTAATATGCCCAAATGTCATCAAGAGCAGTTTTGCATGGGGAAGGAATGTATTTTTCAGACTGTAAAAATGAAACAAAACGAAATTTGGTGATTGGAATTTGAATGAATAGAAGTAAGTTTTCTTCTTTTTATTACTTTTGACATTTAAGTTATTTATCAATTTCAGCTTTACTTTTTCTTTACACAGCCTGACATTGTCAGAATTGTCAGCAAAAATAAAATTGAGGTATCACATGGGGAAAATCTTAAAAAAGTAGTTTCGTCATTGAAAACTGTGAAATTATATTTTGATAATTTTCACTGTGAAATTATCAAATATAATTTTCACAGATAAATCAGTAATCCACTGAAAAGCATAAAATAAAAAAGGATTATTATCATGAGAAAATATAAGGTTTTGTGACTTTAAAAAAATGTCGCATCTCATCGGAGAGTGTGGTTATTTTCAGTCCAAATTGACGTGAAGTAAAAGTTTGTTACTGAGTTTTTAAAGTTGAGTTATAAAAAACTGCATCATTGAACCGATGGAAGGAAATTGCAACTATTGGCAGTAATGTTAACCTTTTATAAATGAGACGATGTGCAGTGCACAGATTCGTCCATTTGGTGAATATTGACCTCCACCTCACTTCATTTATGTTGACTTGTATAGTTTTATTGTGTGAATCTACAAAGCCAAGAGGTTAGATACTTGGTATGTAATGTTGACCTCAACAAAACTCATTCTTTTGTCATTCCCCTTGGGTCAATCTTTGACCCACCCCGGGGTCACTTAGTTAATGTTTACTTAAATAGGAAAATACATTTAAATCATATAACGTGGTACTACATCGCCTAAAGCTTAGATATTTTCTTCAATGCATGTCCGTTATAATCGGCATACCTTTTAAATTTTAAGGATTGGATTAAAGCGCGGAAAAAGGTAATTTTCACATCGTCTAAAATCAATGTTTATAAAAGTAATAGTTTTCAAAAAATGTTGAATTAAAAAAAATACAGTTTGCCTTCCAGTGATGTGTCAACTGTTAAGTAGGTTGTTACTTAGAACAGTTCTTAACACACACTGAGTGTTTCTTTCTGCCATGGACGTTACCCAAATAATTTTTCAGTAGAGATAAGTCAGTTGTACTTCAACATAAATATTAAATTTGCAACACAGCAATCCCATAACTTGTCTTATCAATTTTAGGATGGAAATTTAGGATGATATTACAACAAAGTCACGTTATTCGCACCCGTGTGTCATGCGTTTGAATATGCGTATCGAGGTTACGTAAATCTGCCAAACAAAAGTAACATCATTGCGTTATAATGGTACTTAGTTTTTAATCGAGAAATATGAAACCATTATTTTTTTGTGTCAAATTTACAATTTTGTGATTTCATTCAAATTATTTCGGTGCCAAAAAATAAGTTCGACAAAGCTGCATGTTGTATCCGCCACACTGAGGTGATCATCGTCGGATATCCCCGGTTGATTAACATGTAAAATAACATAAATGATAAATATTAATGGTTCGGCAGTGGGTATCCGACCATGAGTGGTGATATACTATGAGTGATATCGAATTCTAACACGACCCGCATTTTTCCCTATTGAACATAGAAGAACAGAAAGTGTGTGTTATTATGCAACAGATGCACAGTTTGGCGTTCTATATTAAGACATGGGACGTAATCATTATACACGTGACGTAACCACTTAAAATCCGACGCGCTGAAAATATGTTCGGAAACAAATCAGGCGCAATTTTGCTTAACTATCAAGTACCGCAACATTTATTTGTTAAAGTCGTGTTAGAATCGAAATAATATATCCAAATCAGTGATTTTATCGCTTGATAACATCACTGTTTGTCGTTCGGATGCGCATCATTATGTCACTCGGGCTACGCCCTCGTGATATAATTCCTCGCATCCGAACTCCAAACAGTGATGTTATTGAGCGATAAAATCACTGTTTGGGATATATTATTTCTTAAATTACAGCATAAATATAAAACTGGTTAGCTTAAAATAAACTGTTTTCTTCATATACAGAGTGCCTGGACTTTTCACTTGATGAGGACTCAAATCGTTACATTAGTAACACACCTACTAGCGAGATAAGCACAACTAGAGCTCTGTGTATAGAACTATGTTTTGACATAGAGTATTGCTACATGTGGGAACATGATGGAACATCATGCATACTCTATGCTGATTGTGGACTTACTCTTTCTTGCTCAACATCTTTCACTCTGGACTTTAGTCACAAAACGTTTACGAGAACATGTCTGGAAAGTAAGTTGTTTAATTAAAATTATATTTTGATACTAATCATAATAGCTTATTAATAACCACATGGCCCCTAATGGTATGACCCTCAATAGCCCTGGGGAGCATAGAATTATTTACATGTAGTAACCCAGCAGTCACTGGTTCAATCCTCGGGCGAGGCGAAATTTCTCCGTGACAACAGTTACTATAACTGATATAAATGGTCGTTTGTGGGACCATGCGGGATTAGTAGTCGGTCACTGCGTATTTATCCGGGGAAGCCGGTTAAAACAAAATGAACACAATGAAAACGAAACAAGCAGAATAGAAAGAAATATAAGTTATGACAGAAAGAAAATGGAAGGAATGTCCGAGCAATGAGAATAAGGAAACTACAATAAAAGTCTGTTTATATGAGAAAAAAAGAAAAAAATCAACCAATCAAGAGTTTGTGGGTAAGGGATAAAAAAAAGCCAGGATAATAATAATGTGGGAATAAATGAGGAATTAGAGAGCGAGAAAGAGTGCGGATAACATAGCAGGAGGGAGATAGTATAAGGTTAGTTTTTATAGTACAGAGAGTGGATAAAAGTGTGTGGATACGGGAGAAATGAAGTTTGGATAAGAGGGTGAATTAAAGAAATATAAAAATGGGAAAATGGGAAGGATAAGAGGTGTGTTTAAGAGAGAAAAACGAAAGGCAAATAGGGGTTGAAAAAATCAAATTCCAGATTTGTAAGAAGAAAAAGTCAAATACATTAAGATGTTGTTATTCAAACTCTATTGCGTCTCAGTTAGTTTTGTTTCCAGAACCTTCAGTGCTTTGATTATATAAGTAAATGCACCACGTAACTTTTATTTTAGTTGACTTTCTACAAAGGAATTTTGTATCATATTTATTGTTTAATTGTATCAAAAATATCTTAAGTTAGTTCCAAGGCATTCGATAAACAGCATCCACTGAATTAATAACTGTACACTGTTGTAAGCGAATACATTTCTATGGTAGAATACACATTATCATTAATTAAAAATATTATTTGTTGCTTTCTAAAATATCAGAAAAATGTACGTAATGTAAGGAAATCCTGTGGTATCATATAATACATACCAGTAATTCAAAATTCACACATCTTTGACGATTCTTTATGTAAATCATTCAGAAATTAGCAAAACTTTCTTACTATGCACATTAATCTTTAAAAAATAATTATTACAAATACTGCTAAGTCTTTTTCATAATCCGATGTCATATTCGCGAAATTGTAGTTACCCGTATGTTAATTAGCTATACCCCCAAACCTTTTAAGTTCAACAAAAATCTGTTGCCAAGACTTAGTGTTACCGTACTTATTCTTCCTTAATGATTCAATAAAGGCCATACGCCAGAAATGTGTGAAATAATTTTTATTTTCAAAGCCAGTCAAAACATACATTATTTAAAGAGTGAAAATAAATATTAACCATTTTCTTCAATATGATAGATTGTGGAGACCCTCAGGTACCTGCAAATGGAAATGTTACATACCTAGACACAACGGATGGGTCAGTAGCATATTTTTACTGTAATGAAGGGTTTGTTGAGGTAACAGGTTCGAACAACCAGACTTGTCAGTCAAACGGCACGTGGTCATTACCCCAGCCATTTTGTGAACCGAACGGTAAGTCTTGATGAATTATTAGCGTGACCCGTGTAGTTAGCCAAAAGTTAAGGTTAAAATGTCTTTCCCGTAGCCATTTGTTAAACAAACTGTTTAAATGACAGAGAAAGGGAAATCACTGGGGTACAGTGAAAACCCCACGAAATGACAGACTCTGTTTGATAAAGACTAGGTTGGAACAGCGGATCACTACTACACTATTTATACCTCAACACTAAATGTGTTACAATCAATGGCATAATTGTTTACTTCAAATGTTTGAAGCAACTGTAAACATTACTGAGTGACTTCATAGCGGCCATTTTGTTAAAATACTGTAATGAGTGAATGCCGGTCCCCTTGCTATTTTTATGATTTGGTTTTACGTCGCACCATCGCAGTATAATGTCATATGACGCTGGTGGAGAAAGACCTCAGTTGCTCCTCTGTGCGTTATTTCAGGCACAAACAGGCACCTGAAAAGAAAAACTGAAATTTTGTAAGTCAGCTGGATAGCTTTCTCACATGATAGAATCTAAAGACGCTTGTGCTACTCGAACCTACAGCGGTGAGAGGTAATTGTTTTAAGTCCACGACCTTAACTACTTGGCCACGGACGCCTCCCACCCTAACCCCGTAGCCATTTAGTAATGCAAACGGTGGTCCTGAAATATACATATTATAACTAACATTACATGTACAGTCCTTCAACCATAATGAATAATCGATAGCCTTTTAATGAAAGTGCAGATGTGGACAGATTTTTTATAAAGAAAATCATTTTTATTGTAGAAACAACAACAACATCAACCACAACGGTTACTACCACTACTACACTACCTCCAACCACAACAACATCAGTAACAACAATAGCTCCTACCACAACTCCAAAACCAACAACAACAACTACTACTACTTCTACCACACCGATTCCGACGACGACGACACCTTCAACTGCGGCTACGTCATCAACGTCATCGTCAACCTCCGCCCAGGTTATGACGTCATCAGCTACATCAAGACCAACACATACCATAACTGCTCCAAAAATATACATCATGTCCTGCATATGCTACGAAAATAAAACTTTTACGGGAAAGTCGAATGAAGAAATTATTGAAATACTGATAAAAGAGACGGAGATTAACACGAAAAATACGTCACTAGCACTTAATAAACTTAAAAGTAGAGAAGATCACCGACCGACCTCTCAAGTGATAGGATATACCGGTTTGTGCTTCCTGATTATAGCATTCTGCTGTATCATTGGGTCAGACGCTTGCATTATTGTAGGAAAACTGAAGGAAATTATTCAGAAGTCGAATAATTAATCATGAACAAAGTTATCATGTTTTAATTGCAGCATTTTAATTACATAATTATAATATAGCAATGCCAATGCCCTGATGCGTCCCGATTCCGTTGTAGGTATACAAGAGTTGTTTTTTCATCCATTTTTATGCTCCCCGAAAAAGTTCGGGGGAGCATATAGTCGTCGGATTGTCCGTCCGTCCGTCAGTCCTTCCGTCCGTCAGTCCGTCCGTACGTACGTCCCGAATTCGTGTCCGGCCCATAACTTTGTTATTTGAAGTCGGATTTTAAAACTATTTCACAGAAATGATCACCATATTTAGACGACGTGTCGCGCGCAACATTTGGGTCGCTACCTTGAAGGTCAAGGTCACAGCATGACCTTGAAGCAAAATAGTGTCCGGTCCATAACTTCATTATTTGAAGTCGGATTTTAAAACTATTTCACAGAAATGACTACCATATTGAGATGACGTGTCGCGCGCAACATTTAGGTCGTTACCTTGAAGGTCAAGGTCACAGCATGACCTTGCAGCAAAATCGTGTCCGGCCCATAACTTCGTTATTTGAAGTCGGATTTTAAAACTATTTCACAGTAATGATCACCATATTGAGACGACGTGTCGCGCGCAACATTTGGGTCGCTATCTTGAAGGTCAAGGTCACAGCATGACCTTGCAGCAAAATCATGTCCGGCCCATAACTTCGTTATTTGTAGTCAGATTTTAAAACTATTTCACAGAAATTATCACCATATTGAGATGACGTGGCGCGCGCAACATTTGGGTCGCTACCTTGAAGGTCAAGGTCACAGCATGACCTTGCAGCAAAATCGTGTCGGGCCCATAACTTCGTTACTTGAAGTCGGATTTAACAACTATTTCACAGAGATGATCACCATATTGAATCGACGTGTCGCGTGCAACATTTGGGTCGCTACCTTGAAGGTCAAGGTCACAGCATGACCTTGCAGCAAAATCATGTCCGGCCCATAACTTCGTTATTTGAAGTCAGATTTTACAACTATTTCACAGAAATGATCACCATATTGAGACAATGTGTCGTGCACAACATTTGGGTTGTTTTTACACTTTGAACTTTGTCTGTGACATAACTCTGACACTACAAGAGGTATACCTTCCTGTGTCCAAAACCTATTCGGGAAGCATCACCCGGTTCAACCGGCTCTTGTATTACTTATTTATATTTTCGATTTATTATTTATTTTGCAATAACAATTTACAGCGTACTTATCATTCGTAAGGATTTAGCTGCTTCAAAGCAAGTGATTCAAAACAACTGTATTCGACTTTTACTGAACTAAATCTGCCCTTTAGTTTCTTTTTACTGCATTAACTCTGATACGATATGAATAATGCATCATCAGCATAAACAACACATTTTGTGAATTAAACAATTATACTCAAAGTTACATTATAAAAGAGGTACACTTTTTATATGATATTATTATTCAACAAAACAATAAAACTTTAGCATTGTAACTGAGCAAAATTGCAAAGAAAAACATACATCGCAGTGATATACAACGTAATTCACACTCTATCACAAGATTTGATCGGAAATTTAGTAGTTCTAACTCATAGACTCGTGACATATTAAGATGCTGGCCATCATTTTTATAAGTCATTCATGACTACACTCATTCAAACCTGCTCTGCGATTTCTTTCATTCATTGTGCTGTCGTTATAATAGAGTGATCACTTTGAAAACTCCTACGCAGTGTCCCCCCCCCCCCTTGTTCACTACAAAAGAGCAAAACCAATCAAATCACTGTCTGGAGTTTGGTTTTGAAGATGCAAGACGCGACTGTAAAACATTATGCCCTTTATGGCTGAAATATTGATGGCATTTGAATGGTTTTCATTGAAACATTTGTGTAAGTTGATATTTCAATGTTAAGTATTCTATGAACAAGTAAATTATTGTTACTAGTGTCATGGTATTGTTCACATTCTGGTAGATAGTTAGAAACATATTTTATAGTATGATACCAGTATTAGATAGGTCGGTATACCGGCAAACGTTGGTTAAAATTTGTATTATATAACGTTAAATAATCTGGGAGTAATAAATTGATTGCAAAGTCGATAAACAGATCTGTTGAAACTTTATGAAAATAAAGCTTTATATTAAAATATTATTTTAACAAATAAACATAAAATCCGCTAAAAGTACTTCTATATTACCCCATGCATACATTTCTAAAACAAAAAAATGTTCTTTTTCCTTTGACTTTTTATTCGTTCCGACTTCCAGCGTCGACATTTGACAAACGACTTTCACAAAGTCGCTAGTGTATAAGGTCTACTTCAAAGTATGTTTAACTTTTAAAATATCAATAGAAATTTTAAACTGACGTGTATTTGAACAAAAAGAAAACATATCTGCTTGAAATCTTATATAAACAGAACATTATATTGATCAAAAGTTTGGTTTTCGATTTTAAAATTCTTTTCAACTTTTTAAAGATTACCTTCAATGACACAAGGATACGTCGAAGCGTCTTGGGTAATTCAACGTAATGCTAACACTTTGGACAATGCCCTAAGCGGTCAATTAATCCGGATAATTTACGTGTCAATACAAAGCATATAAATACTTGAACTGCACACTTTGGTTTAATCAATGTTATTCAATTCTAAATACCAAGTTCTAAAATACAAAATAAAATGGTATTTTTGATTGGGTTTTCAACCACACCGACACTGTAAATCTCATTTGGCGACTTTCCAGCTAAACTGGTAAAGGAAGACCTCGTGCATTCCTCCGCGTATTAGTTCCGGTATGTGCGGGCAACATGAAAGTAGGACCAGCAACCAATCATTGAGCAAGTAGGGTAGCTTCCTCACTGAAAGAACCCAAGAGTTTCTTGTGAGATTAAAATCTAAAGTGGAAAGGAAAGATGATTCCATTTTAATGACTTCAGCTATTGGGGCCACGTGAACTTGATCGATATGTCACCTGGACTATATGTATTCCGCACACATGAACCATATCCTGTTTTAAACACTCGTGGTCATTGGTATTTATAAACATAAACCATATGATATTTTATTATGTCTATTATACAATTAAGGGAAATGTTCTACATTATCCTGAAATAAGTACTTGGTAAGTAAATGTGTACTTATTTCACTGCAAAAAAACGTCTACTGTTTACTATTTGTTTACTATTCTGCCACAGTTATTTGATCATGTCGTATATCTAAAACCCTTGCAGCTCTTGCAATCTGACTTGAAATCGGAGAAAATAACATAAAACATTTACATTAAATGCAGTATTTATCTTCTGTTGCTATGTATTGCATAAAGTAAACATACATGTACATTCAGGGTTTTAAACAAATAAAACCATACGTTAATTTAAACATTCATGTACATTCAGGGTTTTAAACAAATTTAACCATACGTTATTTTAAAGGACCTCCACTTCTATAGTCTATAAAACATTAAATTTGGAAAAAAAAATATGAAAAAGATAAGAATGAAATATACTCAGAATTCAATAAAAATGTATATTTAATGCGATTCTTTGCTTGACTTGATTTCATAAGGTTTTTAACACTTATTTAATGTCATTTTTCACTTATAGAATGATTTTTTTCTGGTAAAACAATGTGAACGAATTGCACACAAGTTATTGAAATGACCTACATCAAGGGTATAAAAATCTCGAAAAATATTGACAGTCCCTTTAATGTCAAGAAACCTCAGTCGAGTTCCTTAAATTCTAAATAAGAAATACATGTACATTAAAACATATATCGAACTTTGCAGCCATTAAATAATAACTAAATTTACATTGTATATAGATTTTCAAAATATCTTGATACGCCTTTGATATGTATAAATGTTAACATAAAATAAAACACTGCCCAGCAGCTCAAATAAAGTGTTTAGTTATGAAAACATATTTATGTCACAAAAGAACAAAAAAAGTACGAAATGAAAGCACATGGTATTTTTATACACAACCATCTAAATTATCTATAAAATTCAATCATTGAACAGGGTGCGAATCTATTTAGCGAATTATAAGTATTATATAATATAATAATCTATAAACTTCTTATATCATTGTGGTCTGGAGAGAGGTATAAACAAAGCGAATATCGCATTATAAAAGAGAACAGTATAAAATTTTATAAACTATTTCCTAATAAAGTACAATAGATTTAGCACTGTGCACCCGCTTTTATCGAAAATTTGTAAACATTTCTCTTTTAATTATAGATTTTGTACCACTACTCTTTATCCAGATTACAATTATAGAACAATATACCCCTTAGACAGTAAAACAAATTTTAAATATCCAGCAGTTATCTTTTTTATTTTATACTACTCCAATCGCATTTTGCAGATATTCCTTCCTCAGCGATATCTTTTCACAACCGAAACACCATCTAGCAGACGGCATTTCAATGTGTGACAATAGTTTCGAATTTGTGGGGTCAACAATCATGGCATCTCGAAGAATTGTATTGTCCGGAGTTTTCCCGCCAACAAGCAGAATGTTTCCTCTATGTTGTATAGCTTCGAAGTGGTGTTGATTGAAACCCGCGATTCGACCGATGACTTTCGCAAGAACATGTTCTTTATCAGACACCGATGTTGACACGACAGACTTTGGCGAGGAGGGCGACGGAAGCAAAGGCGATTCTCTTGGCGGTGGTGAAACCTCCGATTGATCGTCATCGGCATCGAAGGAAAATGAAAGCTCTGAGAGCGACTGTATGACCCTCCGCGGTGTCACAGTCGTGTCGAAAATCATTATTCGGCCATCTGGTAAAACAATATAAACAATTTTGTTAATGATAACAGTTCTTGTGAGCCTACATGCAAATGGTAGTTCACCTATTATAGTTGCATTGCCGTTACGTGTGTCAAAACATTGTACGCGGTCAGAGTCTTTGTCGTTTTCAGTGATTCCACCGAATAGGAAAATATTTTCACCAATTACAGCAGACGACATTGAACGAATTCCTAAAATGAGTTCTCCTGCCTGTTTCCATTTCTTTGCCCCTATGTCAAATTCTTCTATATTAGTCATGGCCGGTGCTGTACCGTCCCTTCCACCGAAGACATACACAGAATGTGTCAGTGCAACCATTGCGTGACCACATCGTCCGTTTGCCATGACGTCACAAGTCTTCCATTTATTCTTTTCACCTTTAAATACAGCCATGCCTTTCAGTTTTAACCAACCTCCTGATACATAAATATCTGATCCATATGAGCAGACGGCGAATTCATAGCCGGGGTCATAAGGCATAGAAGGTAAATAATACCATTGTTCTTGTTGGAAGCTGTAGCAGACGACTTCCTTTGTCGTCTGGAATCTTGGAACTGTTTTCAAAAGACCACCTATAACTACCAGCGAGTCATTTCTATCGCTCATCTTACGTTGAGTAAATCGGTCTCCACTAAAAAATGGGCGCTTAGCCGGGCAAAGATGGTACTTAAATGCTTCTTGTACGCATTTATTCGCCTGCGAACTAAGAACTAGATCCTCGCGGAGGAGTGTAAATAAATAGTCCGGTGAAACTAGAGGCAGACGAAGAACTTGCAGTAATTTGCCAAGTTCGGCTTGACGTGAAGGTTCAAAGTTCACCCACATCATCACCGCTTCACAGACGCTCTCTTCGTTTGGTACGGAAAGTTCATCGTTTTTAACAATGTCTATCAGCTCGTCTGCGTCAAGTTTTTGAAACTCGTCTGACATTGAGATATCTATAAATAGTTCTAGAAGGGTCAGCTGTGCGATTTGAACAAGATTCTTACAGTTGTGCGCCCTGGCTATTTTCCATATTCCTATACAGTTTTCTTTTGAAACTTGTGTAAGTAGGAAATCCTCACACCGTTCTTGTAGACAAGGAATTTGCAACATTGAAGACGCGCGGAATATTCGCTCAGCGTTAGTTTGGTCCACAACATCGACTCCTGAAAAAATCAACAATAAATATAATACATTCACATCGCATGAATATAATTTAACACAGGAAAATCTACACAATGTCACAAATGTTGAAATGATAAGTTTCTATTGTTAATAGTGAAAGAAAAAAAACTTCCGGGAAATTAAAATTAAACCTTATCTTTTTTTTATAAATACAACTGAAAATGTGTGTATTCAGACGAATGTGTATTCTGCACGAAGTATCATAGCAACCAATTTTATTTCCTTGTGATCAAATCATGTTTTAAAAGTTGTTGCCACTTCCTCTCAAAAAAATAATGTTAACGAAAAAAGAATTTTATAAAGAACAAAACTGCCTAAATACCGGGTTCTTTTATTTTTATACATTTTATTACGTTTCCAATCCCTTATTTGCTAGACTACAAACATAAACCATAGTTATAAAAAAAGTTACGACTTTTTTAACAATGTGTTACTATGCAATAAAGGTTGGAGAGTAAAAAAAGAAAGGCTACAAAGTGAAACATAAAAAATCTTTTTATTGAAAACAATTAATATTGAAATACTGTCTAGTTGAACATTAAATATTTTTATACTGTAAGTACACATGTATATCAATTTTCACAATTTAATAAAAACCTACCAGTGTACATGAATCTCAGCAGACGATCAAATATTTCCGGTTCAATGTCATACAATGTCACGATTCCTCCACGTGTCTCAATCATGTCATGATTAAACATCGCATCAAAATAGGATGACATTGCGCATAATATTACCTGAAAAGTAAATTTACATGTATTTAAACTTTTTTTTTAACTTTTTTTTTTAAACTTATATTTCGAGCTTTACTTGTGGAGGACTCTTGTGCTCCTCTGTACATTATTTCAGGTACGAACGGTAAATACCACTGGCGTTTCGTATGCTAGCTAGAATACTTTGCTTACATGAAAGAATCCAAAGTGCCTGTCGTGATTCTAATCCACAGCAGTGAGGAGGGGTAATTAATTTGAAGTCAACGACCTTAACCATTCCGCAACGGACGCCCCGTCACGTAACATAATATGAAATACACATATAAGTATATATATAACATCTTTGTGTCCATGGGTTTTTTTAAAGTAAGGAAATAATATGAAGGAAGAGCAAACGAGAGATAATAATGCTCATGCTGCTTATCATTCTGGTGTAATGAAACCATCATTAAGGTTCGAGTTGTTTCTGAATAAAGTAAATGCAATTTAATAACGCATTTTAAACAAGCATTTTCAATAGTATTTCCTCTCAGTCCCGCGTACTTTATTTTCAAAAGTATTCAAGTTTTTCTCCCATACTGAGTATACCTAAGTTTCACGTTTCAACCGTATACATGATTTTCTCCCGTATACATTATTTTTTATCATTTATCTCGTATACTTGATTTTTTATGCTTTTTCCCGTATACATTTAGATTTTCTTTAACATATCGTGAGGAAGCAGTCTTTTTGAAGTAGAACATGATATAAAGTAATGTACTGATTTAATTACAAGAGTCTTTTGTCTAAGAAATACACGTATATTATATTAAGACACGAACAACTTGAAGGCGTCTATGAACCATTCACATGCTAACAAAACATTGAAAGAATAGCCTAATAAACCGACGAAGTTCATGTAAATCATGTAATTGCATGCATAGAAAATCAAACAAAACACATTTTACTTTAAAATTACTCATCTGTTTAAACACGGGTGTGATTTTATCTTATATTCTAATGTAATTTCTACATTTTAAAATAAACATAATTATTATATTTGACGTAACAGAATAATATCGTGACAACGCACTAAACTGTGTTGATTTGTCAAATTGGGTAATTTATTCAACCGCTCTGACTTGCAGAAACTTATTTCAACGGTGAGTCATGAGCAAGGAAAAGGTTCAATATTCAGACCATTCTTTAATTAAGGGATATGGATTCGAGTAGCAACAGGAGACTATTAAAAACTTATTCGTCTTTAATGAGGTGGTGTTATCAAAGTCCGACAACGGCTATCAAACACAGATTCCAGTAACTCATGCGCTAATTCTAAACATTGTAGCTTCTGTATCTTCTTGCAGGGAAAATATTTCCAATTTTTCAATAATGATGATAATATGTCTTGCCGTTTACCTAATCAATTAAAGTTGTTTTAGTAAGCTTTGGAACACTATGACAAGACGGTTAGAATCACGCAATTTATTTTTCTTAATTATGGTGACATGCAATCGCAGCTTTTCAACGCTTTCTGTCAACCTTCGGATTTGTATTTATGATAAATGCATAATCTGCAGTGTTCCGATTGGATGAAATGAGTAAAAGATGTAAAGGCATGCTATAAAATACCTTATGACACGGGAAGACCTTCCCATCGACAACGATTGTAACATCAGCATGGTTTCCCGACGACAACATGTTCTCAAGTCCAACAGTCAATGTATCCACGAATTTCAACTTTGCCTCCATAACAGTCTGGTGCTGAGACTTTTAGACTTAGGCAGATTTTTACATGGTTATGACCGAAGACTCAAAGTTCACTTTGTCTGCCTGAAGTAAAAGTTAAAGGTACAAATAATTTTATATCAAAACTATATCAATAAAAATCTATCAGGGACAGTTAGTATCAAACAAACCTGACAGCGACAATGTGAACAACACTGCTATGCTTTGTGGATGTATATACATCATACATGTTTAATTATTATGTGTCCTTGCTATTCAAGGCGTAATATACATTATGTAATACTTATATATATATATAGACATGAATAAAATTAATTTCGCAAATATTTTAACTTAAGATACAATAATACTATTAAAACGGATCAGAGACATACTGTGGTAGATCTTATAGTTTATTTTGTTCGGTTATGTATAGGAAGCTATTTATAAGCATACAGGCACATTTGGAACCAAACAGTACTGAAGGAAACAACTGCTTGCACTTTACTGGGTTTGAATCCACACGGTCAACAATACTAAGATTACTTGTCTGATCTGTTAACCACTCAGTCACAAACATACAAATGTTTGTTGTCACAGACAAAAGAGTGATTGTGCTCACAGACTTTAAAATGAATATGGACTCGGACAAAAGAAAGACTATGGGCACAGACACAATAATGACACAGAAAAGTGGTCACAAACACAGAAATGACTGTAGTCACAAACACAGAAACGACTGTAGTCGCAGACACAGAAATGACTGTGGTCACTGACACAGAAATGTGGTCACAGACACAATAATGACTGCGGTCACAGACACAGAAATGACTGCGGTCACAGACACAATAATGACTGCGGTCACAGACACAGAAATGTGGTCACAGAGACAATAATGAATGTTGTCACAGACACAATAATGAATGTGGTCACAGACACAATAATGACTGTGGTCACAGACACAGAAAGGACTGTGGGCACAGACACAGAAATGACTGTGGTCACAGACACAGAAATGACTGTGGTGAAAGACACAGAAATGACTGTGGTCACAGACACAGAAATGACTGTGGTGAAAGACACAGAAAGAGTTGACTGTGGTCACAGACACAGAAATGACTGCTGTCATAGAATTAGAAATGACTGTGGGCACAGACACAATAATGACTTTAGTCACAGACACAGAAATGACTGTAGTCACAGACAAAGAAATGACTGTGGGCACAGACACAGAAATGACTGCGATTAAGGATACCCAACTATGGTGATTATCATACTGTCATTTATTTTGACAACACAGCGACCAGTGTCATTGATTTAGACCTCACCAGGACCTTTCTTATTGGTTATGACCTAACAAGGATAAAATGCCATTGCTTTTGACCTCAAAATAACCGTTGTTATTGCTTTTGACCCAACGAGGATAAAATGCCATTGCTTTTGACCTCAAAATAACCGTTGTTATTGGTTTTGACCCAACGAGGATAAATGCCATAGATTTTGACCGCACAAGGAACAATGCCATTGTTTTTGACTTAACATTTTAATAAGGAGCGATATCCCAAAAGATAAATTCATTGTTTTTGGCCACATAAGAATCGATGTTATTGGTTTTGACATAACATTAAGGAACGAAGTCATCGGTTTTGACTCCACATGGAATAACGTCTCACAAGAATAGTATGTAACGTGACTCTCGTATTTGCAAATACACACACTTTAGCTGATAAAATATGAGACAAAAATGATATCTGTTTGTTTCCTTATTTAAAGATAATTGTGATAACAGACGGACACAATGAAAAGATGTGATGAACGGTCAAATGTCTTAACGTACAATACTACTGTGCGTGACAAAAATATCTTTTAAGCAGGCCTGAATTAGTGAATATACTGTTACATGTATGTATATTTTTATATTGAATCAGCAATGTAATGATTTATCAGTAACAACATATTTAACAGTGACAAAAATTGATGACAATTTTTTTAAACAAGCGAATAAATACAGTAAAATTAACGAATAGAGCAATTGTATATTATGTGTGCAGCGTTCATGATGGAAAATTATACATTTACATTTCCAATATATATATATAATTGAAATTGTATTGACGTATACAAATATGTTTGTATACAGTATCGAAAACATTGAAGTCTTACCTTATCATTATTAGATGATTTACATGTACTTCGACAAACAGGTGAACCGGGCATCAAAACGCGATACCTTCAAAATTCCATTAACCACAAATTATACATGAGAAGTGCTCCAATGTTTAAACGACAGCTGTTAAATAAAGCTATGTCACATAAAAAGAAACATTTCACCACTGTACGATATAATTTACAAATCGTAAATATACATCCAACTACGTCTTTTTTTAGGTTTAAATTGGTCTACTAACAATTCGATCGTAAATCTTGTATACTATTTCAATTTGATATGCATTGGAATCAGTCGAGCGTAATATTATTTTTATAACATTGAAGAGTTAAAGAGGGCGACAACTCTTTCAGCTGGATTATAAAATAGAGTCAGTGCCTGAAGGGTCAATTTGGAAAATCTTTTGATGTTTAGAAGTAAAATGTTTAATTGATCCACAAAGATATATATCTTGTGGAAAGTAATGATAAACAAAACATTGTAACACTATCAATTAATATGTGAGGGCAGGTGATGAAGATAATGTAGATGTAGATGTTATTTATGTCTCTGCAAGCATGTACTATACAGTACAGTTCGTGCGTATCTTATCAACAAGAGCAAGAACTAATTTGCGTTTAAAAGTGTTGTCGATGACACGATATTTATTATCGTTGTATTCCACTTTATGCACCTGACATATAACTATTTATTTAGCAAAATGAAAATAATTATTTCGAGTGTATCCATATTATATATCATGTCCCAGAATGAATAGATTTATATGTATGTATACATGTAAATTCGAAAAATATACTGATGTTAATTAACATTGTTTACAATGGAAACACAGGCTACATGTACACATGGTTTAAATTGAATCAAGCAGAGTTGATAGTTAGCTATAACATGTAGATTCGCTTGTATTCAGACAACTCTTACATTAAATCAATTTAACAGTTGTTGAGCGCTTAACTCCCGTGGATCAAACAAATTTTGCGACCTTGACCTTTTTATTTATAGCTGATTCACATGTAACCTTGATTAACTGTATGAACATGCATGCTACGGACGACATTTCATCCTTTAACGCTTTTCTGGACTTAAATTTGGTATTGAGAATAAAAACGTTGATAAAAAGGATGTGTGCATCGAAATAACGGTTAGATTACGTTTAGTTCCACCGGGCTTAATTGATTATTAATTAGTCAGTGCGTTTAATTCCACGTGAAGAGGTAACTTATTTCTTTAGTCTTCTTCTAGAAAATTTATTTGATGAGCTTTGAATTTTAACCCTTATGTATTTCAAAGTTAAATATTTGTAATTATAGGGCTGTGTTTTAATTGAAAATACATTTAACAGTTTATTTTTTACATTTATAAAGTTTGACACCTCTCTTAAATGTTAATAGTTTCCTTATTTGGATACAGTACAGTGAATGTGAAGATCTTAAAGATTTCAGTACACAACATTCAGTTAAAAATTAATTAACATAAAAAGGAGCGTAGCTGGTAAACTTACTTCCCGCTTGACACACAATGTAAGAAATTATCATGTTATGAAACTATATAATTTTTAATGTCGATATCGGGGGGTTGGGGGTGGGGGGCTGGACGCAGGGGGTGCATTAACATCAAACGAGACTATTACTTATTTTAAAGGGCCTATGATATACATCTATAATATTGTTAAAATTAATCTTAATACATGTATATTAAAATTGCAAAATTGTTAGCCCATACAAAAGAAACCCATACTGAAAAGGTTCGTAAATACGTTTCATATCATTTAGAAATCAATTTCCATCACTCTTTTGCAACTAATTTATCAATCTTACGGGTTGCATTTGGATTATATTGATTTGCAAATATCGCACTTGGAAGTAAGGGAAGTAACTTTGCCAAGACCTGAACAAAACAAAACGTAATTTGTTGTAAGAACAAGATGTAAAAATAGTCTTTAGGAATAGATTAGGTCTTAAAATGATTTATTGTAATTTCTATAGAGCTATACAGTAAAAAGATTTTACTTTTGCTTTTCCTTTTAAGGTTTTATTAAAAAAAATATATTAGCACAGTTACATTTCAACTTTGTTTACATTTTGCTACTTTTAGAACTATATAACTAAAATTAATCGCTACTTTCTACCAGAGATCAGCATTAAATTGCATATTTTAAATCCATAATTACTTGTTTTCCCCTTCCGTAGAAGAAAACAAATCTTTTGTTGTTCCTTTGGTAGGCCCTACAATGTCCTTTAAGCCAGCTTGCTACTCGAATCGAAGGATGACAATTTAAAGAGAGAAAAAAGAGAAATTATTTCAGCGAAGAATATGTATGATAATTTGATACATGTGAATTAATTGATGGCATTTTTTATTTATTTTAGATGGTACATTATTCCTGGATGAATGGTATCTGTTGTTGTTGACGACGGATCACTTGCTGTAACTGGTAGGAGTTCATTTCACTCCATCTTCCTGTCAAAATACATGTTCTAACATTAAACAATGTTAGTGAACTGTAATGTTAGTGAACTTTTTCTCCTCCAATGTCATACGAAGGTCAACATAAAACTTTTTAATACCGTTGCAATGTTATGATAAAGATCTCAATTAAAAAAATTATTAACATATAATTTGGCCCGTTTTGGGTGTTTTTTAAAGTGTTATCTAGGAATTCTGGGCAGATTTGTGAGACTTTTAGTTTTCTTTAATTCCATTTTATTGTCAAGTCATCGACATTTTCTGTATAATACTGAAAGGTAACAAAATACGTGTGTAACAAGCAATGTCTGATGTCATCCTGTTTGTAGGATATTTTATTACACAATAATTTATTACACAACAACACTATATTCCTTTGTAGCTATGAATCTCCCTATGTTATATAGGGAGTTCAGTTTTCGTGTGTTTTATGGTCCCAGAAATAATTTGACAAAAAATAATGTTCATGTTTTAAATATTTAGTTTCAGTTGTTCTATTTTTCTTTCAGACTCCACAATGTTGACATTGACACTGGCCTTGTCTTTGGTTCTTTTGTTACTAACCTACCTTTATAAATCAGTGATCAAACATGCTGTGAAATATTCCGACATTCCCGCCGTCAACAACCGTTGGCCATTCATAGGCAACTTATTTGATATGTCCAGGACTCACATTGTATTAACAGAATGGGCTAAGGAATATGGACCGGTTTTTCGATTCAATTTGTTCGGTGAAGAGATAGTAGTATTAAATGACTACGACACTATTTATGAAGCTCTAGTGACTCGTGGTAGTGACTTTGCCGGTCGACCACACATGAGCCGGACCGACTATCAGGACAGGAACAAGAATTCTATAGTATGGCAGACCTACACGCCTAAATTACAGGTAAATACATAGCATAAACTGTACTGAAAAATATCCCAGTGAAATATCATTTTACCACGACATTACTTTTCATATTCAATTCTGTTATATGATCGTGAACATTCGGCAAGTTTCGCCACATTCCGTGCAATATAAAGATCAAATAAGCGTCAATATATCCAAAAGCAAAGGATAAACTTGTCAACTGAAATCTTTCTTAATATGTCAGAAACGCTTGTTTTAAACAAATGTAAATGATATAACGCATGTGAGCGACATGATTATTATGCAGATGACAGTGCTTATAAATTGATAATGTATTGAGAATAAGAGGTTTTCTACCATGCATTGGGCTAAAATCCTGCGTTGAACATGCCCTGTTTTAAATTTTTGGACTTGTCCATTGCTAAATATAGGGAGTTTTAAGATCATAATGCTGAAACAAGGCAATCAACTATAGTGTAACTTTAGTACCATAACCGATATTTCTTTATTAACTTATATAACCATAATAATTTATTCTTACATTACCATTACATTACTATTTATATGCAAAATGTAAAAGACGTTGTGTGGATTTTTTTTCCCTGATATAAACTATGGCATTACCTAAAATCTGAAAAAATGCAAAAAAGTATCCTTTAAAATCGTATTTGACATTGAAAGTGTTTTATTAGCGTATCTTATCGGTGTATTTGAAAACTGTTTACTTGGAGCAAATATTAGGGCCAAAGCAATTTCAAATCGCCCTATATAGATTTTTTGTGGTAATGCATGTCCTATTTATGTTCAGTTATGCCGGCTCGCCACGGCGAGCCGGTATTACGTTAGGATTTTACTTAGAAACAACCTAAAACTCCGAATCCATCCAAAAATTTAATCTAAGCTTGGCTTCCAGCTTTCTACAAAATTTATCTGTCTGGGCTGGAATCCAAAATAATTAAGCCAATCAAATTTGATCTTACATAGCGTCAAAAAACCTTCAATTTTTCACGCCATTTTAAAAAGAAACAAGAATTGCTTTGAGCGCAAAGATGATAATGATGAAAAAAATATTTGTTTTCATGAATTCTTTTCAATAAATCATATTTACACTGACTTTTGATTTAGCGATTTCACCTGTTTTCTCTGTAGTAAGTTAAATAATTAACAATTAATTGGTTAATTAAACATAAGTGTACATCTGGTTCTGTGCATATTTTTCTTTTTCTTTTTTTTTCCGGTAATTTTATCCTGTCCGGTATTTTGTGTTATGTATTTACTGGGATATACTATTCTCCGGTCCGGTCGCTTCCGGTCTCTCCCGGTCTATTTTGACCGGGATTTACGAGACTTGAGAACTTGTACAAATCAAATAATCATGCCACATGAATCTAAATTCGCCCACACCAAGAGAGTTCTTCAGTAATATATTCCTGTATAGGACTTGTGTCTGTCACTCATTCCAATACTAAATAACATATTACAACTTAACTTTGTATAAAGAGACTTCTTTATGAATTCTACATATCTAACATTTTTGGTCAAGGTCAACAGGCCATATAGTAAATGTGCATAGACATAGGGACTTCATTCTATCTGTTTACATGCATCTTCATATATACTCATATACCCCTTTGTTAAACTGAGAGAACTGGCTTCCGTAACTTTATATGTCACTTTTATTTTGATGTTCAGGTACAGAACTGTCATTTTTACATTTAAACACACCCCTGGAATAAAATTACGAAGCGAGTCGCTACTAGCTTTTTTAAAAGCTAACCTTGTAATGATTTAATGTTGAGCTGTCTGTTGCATTTTTCCGGTCAAGTGGTCATCGGTTAATGCTATAAGAATCGCTAGCCGTGTGGGCTCAAACCCCGTCAGGGACAGGCCTTTGTTTCATTGAGCAAGAAACTTACTTTACACTCATTGCTCCATATACTGAAAGTAAACATTTACTGATAGTTCCAGAAACGGATTCGAGTGTGTCCATAAACTTATAGCTTTCTACACAATCGGACTAGAATTACTTATGTATAAATTAAAGTTTAAACATATGTACCTAGTACCCCACACTTACACAGACTATCATTTCAGATGTAGTGGGAGATAAACTTTGATTTGCTTTGAAATGTTTCCATTCTTTTTTTTTGCAGTTTTTAAGGAAACAAATTCATTCGTCACTTCGCATGTATGGCGGTGGCCTTAACAGACTTCAAGACCGATGCGGTACGGAAATTACCGAGCTTATTTCACGAATAGACGCTTACAAAGGTCAAGCGTTCGATCCTTGGAGTCTTCTTTATTGTTCTGCGTGCAATATAATGCTAGACTTGGTATAATATTTTATGATGTTTTATACTTTAACACTTGTTAAGACTGGTAGCATTTCGCTATTGCATATTTTGAGGGGAGCTTTAATGGAGGAATGTCTTTAAAACTTATTTCAACCTTTTTTCCCAATTTCTGGCACCTTGTAAGATACAGTAGCAATCTGAAAATAGCTTATTTCGTTAGTTGTACATTGCAGTATACACTTTATACCGAATACACTATTGAATTTTGAAGAAGAAAAATTCACAGTGCACAAACGAAATCACTGTATCATTTACTGCAAGTTTTTTGGTCTGGTTTCAAGTCTCACTAACACAGTATAGGTCATATGGCGACTTTCCAGCTTTACTGGATGAGGGAAACCTTAGGTGTCCTTCCATGTATTATTTCGGGCACGGACGGGCACTGTCTTTCCGTGTATTATTTCGGGCACGGACGAGCACTGTCTTTCCATGTATTATTTCGGGCACGGACGGGCACCTGAATAGAACCACCGACATTCCGTAAGAAAGCTGGATAGCTTCCTCACATGAAAAAATCCAAAATCCCTGCTGAGATTCGAACCCGCAGTGGTAAGGGACAAGTGGTTTGAAGTCAACGACTCGGACACGGACGCCCCTTTACTGCAAGCCTATGCAATTTAATAGTTATTGCGATGCGATCATATATTGCAAGGTTATACAATTCAACATGTATCATTTTTTGCGATGACATGAAGTAAATGTGTTTCTACACAGTGAAATTGTCAATGCATTTAGAAATTAATTGTAATATTGTCACGTGTTATTTAAACAGCACCTATCAAACTGAGTTTAGACAGCTTTCGGAGTATTTTATTGTCTTATAATAATGTTATTCAAAGCATTAGAAATTTTGATTTAATTTAATCTGAACGTAATTAAGAATCAATCTGGATAATCTCCCTTTGTGCGTTACATGCAAGAATGTAATCTTATATACGTTCGTTCGTGCGTTTCAACTGACGGTTTCAGAGTAAATTTTAGACCTTTTTCATATATATTTTAACTTTCACCATTTCCAGGCAATTGGTATCCGGTTCCCATATAATGGTAAAGATCTCACGAGGTTGAAAGAAATCAACGGTTTGTTTAACCACTCGTTTGGGCCAGGTTCAAGTCGTATTCTAGACCATCTTCCAATGTTTAACATATTCCAGGACGAATACAGAGCCCTGAAACAGGCGGTGGGACTAAGGAATCAGTTTTGGCTGGACCATAATTGTTCAAAGGTACCTTTATTGAAGTATACTTCACATTATACATGTAAATTGAAATCCTGTCCCCTATACACTAGTAACAACTTGGACGTTTAATACTGGTTTTTAATCCACTGGAAAGTTCCGCCGTGTGGAGTGAATTGATGTGTTAACCCCCCCCCCCCCTGCAGCCGCTTTACGAGCTACACATATCGCCTGCTATTTGGGCTCCTAAAGAACTCTAGACACTGCATTGACCCGTCAGTGCGGTGACAGATTGAAAGTCATTACCAAACAATACCTAGAGGCGTGGGTTTTGACTGTTGCACTATTTACATGGGTCTAGCAATTCAATAAGTCTCTGTTTAGCGAGAAGTGAAGCCACGCCACAGTGTGATAACGACAATGTCGTGTGGTGTGAAGATCGTAATTTAAGGCAAACAGAAGAACGAACAGCAATTCTTATATATTTCATTTAATTTAAAGTTATGTTAAGATGAGTCAATTTGGACACTGCATATTGATTTATCAGATTGTTTTATGTGGTTCTTGTAACTAAATTTGTTCCCGCTTGTCAAGTGAAGATGTTATTGCTCGCAATATTATATGCCGTCATTATCCCGGAATTTTATCCCGGTTCCAAGGTGATTTGAATGCTATAGTAATTTTGTTTGTGTTTTCAGACTGAATCTCGGCAAGAAAGTGTGATATCTGACTTACAAAAGTTACAGGGTGACACTCGGTACAAAGAGTACGATGTTTCAGAATCCACTCTGAAAGAAACGTTTACGAATCTCATACTTGCAGGTTAGACACGGTGATTATTTTGCTTTAAATTGATACTCTTAAAATAAAGGAATAATTTATAAACTACACTGTACATGATAAAAGTGCTAATCGATGTAAATTCTTTTAACATCAAGGTATTGCGCTCTCTTCTTGAAAATGAAATGGCTATAGTTGCTTTATTGTAGAACAGTGGAGTATATAGCTGAGAGTTGTGGACTATGAATGTAAGAACAACCAATATACAGAATATGCAATCTACCCATGTCAGATTTTTAAAACATGTTCAAAAGAAAATGGCTCTAACAAAATATGCTGGCAAATTAAACCTAGCATTTTCTGTCTCTTTAAATGTTTGCTTTATTCAAAAGTTCACTATTACCATGTACCATGTTTACTTCAGTTTAACATTTTAACCTATTTTTAGGTACAGATACAACTACCACTGCTCTTACATGTTTTCTCTTGGTGCTACTTTACCGACCAGAAATCCAAAAGCGTCTTCATACGGAAATTGATCACGTGATAGGATCGTCACGTGAACCCTCCTTATCAGACCGCCCTTCAATGCCATATATGGAGGCGTGTTTATATGAGACTTTACGGTATATTTCCCACGTGCCCCTGGCTGTACCCCATGCCACAACTTGTGATACATCTGTAGGAGGAAAACGTATACCTAAAAATACAACAGTAAGTGTCATGACTACACTCCAATATGGAGCCAACCTTAGAATCTTCAAATGTCAATTTAGATGAACCATGGCAATTTTCACCATAATTTCTTTCCTGCAATAATATCTGCGCCTTATGCGTGTATGCCGTCATTTCGTCGACGTCGCTGTATCGCACAACTCCGTCGCTATCGATATGCCGCCATGATATCTTCATTATCACTCTTCCGCCACCATATCTTCTTTTTAGTTCTTCAGTCATTATATCTGCGAAATCACCGTTCAGCAATCATATCTACTTCTTTTCTCTGCCTCCGTCGTAATTTCGTCATCGCTCTATTCCCATTATATTTTCTTCACCGTTCTGTCCCCATTATATTTTCGTCATCGCTCTGTCCCCATTAAAGTTTCCTCATCGTTCTGTCCCCATTATATTTTCGTCATCGTTCTGTCCCCATTATATTTTCGTCATCGTTCTGTCCCCATTATATTTTCGTCATCGTTCTGTCCCCATTATATTTTCGTCATCGTTCTGTCCCCATTAAAGTTTCGTCATCGCTCTGTCCCCATTAAAGTTTCGTCATCGTTCTGTCCCCATTAAAGTTTCGTCATCGTTCTGTCCCCATTATATTTTCGTCATCGTTCTGTCCCCATTAAAGTTTCGTCATCCCGCAGCCGCCGTCATAATTTCATCATCGTCATTGGTCTGTTCCGATTATATTTTATATTTTCGTCTTCTTTACAACAATATAGGAGTTTTTGCTTTGCTGCTGTTATATTTTAGCCTTCACTGTCCCGCCATCGATATGTCACTATGATCTTCATCACATAAGGGCGTCTGTCGCCGAATGCTATGGTAAAGGTCATTGCCTTCAAACCACTTACCTCTCACCGCTAGTTGTAGGTTCGTGAGGCGCAAGCGTCGTCAGATTCTACGTGTGAGGAAGCTATCCTGCTAGCTTACATTACGTCGGTGGTTCTACTCAGATGGCCGTTTGTGCCTAAAAGAATGTATAGAGGGGCACATGAGGTTTTCCTCCACCTGTTAAGCTGGAAGTCGACATATGACATTTACTGTGTTGGTGCGACCAATCAAAATGTTGTTTATCACCCTTCCTATATCATCAGATCTTATCTCCCTTGCTATAATATGTTTGCCTTTGCCCTAGCTCGTCACATCGTCGACATCGCATTGCCGCTTCAATACCTTCTTCTTCACCCCGCTATCATACTTCCGTCATCACTCTTCAAAACTCGTATCTCCTTAAGCTCTCTATATCGACACTGTATACCCTTGTCACCGCTGAGCGCTATCGATAACAGTTCACTATCGTGATTTGTTCATACTATAACTCTTGAGCCTTTTCTAATTATTCATGATGTAGTTGCGCTATGTAAACATTGATTTAGGTCATTTGAATTAAGGGAATCATTTCACAAGCATAGCTAAAACACCAGTTTCTTGTCAGACGTATGCCATAATGTATTTTTCCTGTACAATAGAGCAAGCATATACATTGACGAACTGTCTTTGTACATGTATATCAGACTGGAGAACAGCATCGGTGCTGGAAAATATCACATTACAACCCTAAGTGCAAGATGAGCTCTCGGGTAAATGTGAAATAATAAATCGGTAGAACCTTATACAGTTACCTACAATCCGGACAGTCGTTAAGTTACTGGAACAGTCTTTGCTATCAGTAATAGAGCCCAGATATGCACTGTTGATAGCTCAGTTTTCATATTTTAATATTGAACCCTTTAAATTTTCTAATGGACAGTTCCATATTCAAAGTAGGTCAAGTCCATATTAGTTACAAGTATACGTAGTGTATTAAAAAATTTGCATTGTCATCACCGGCGCTTGTCTTTCGTAATGTTTCATCACTTTCATACATTGAACTACAACACTGTGCTTATTCTTGGAAAGAAGTTACCACCATTCTCTCTGATTACTGAGATAAATTTCGCGGTTTACAGATAGCAATTTCTTTATCTATTTGCGGTTAGATTGGACAATACATTTCTGTGGCTGTTACGTTTAACAAGACTACACCCTCTGAAACTCGAAAGGATAAAATAAGTTTTTGTTGTTTTTATTATTCATTTATGATAAAAGACACGTTATTAAAGAGGAACGCCCGAGCATTGATATTTCCGCTCTATCTTTAATGACATTTGTAAGTGGTCGTTATCTAAAATATCCATTCTGTGTGTAGTTGATCATAAATTCGAATAATATTATTTTATCTGCTATCGGAAGCAATTCAAGACGCGAATAATAATTTATATATAAAGTTAAAAAGGTTGAAAGTTTCCGCTATTGTTAATTTTTTTCGACTGACAGTCAAGTACGTAAATATAAGATATGTATACTCGGTGTTTATTTTAAAGGAACGTTGACGCTACCTAAACTCGTATATGACGTCAGATATGCAAAAACGATCTCAAATAAAAACATATGTCCTGATTCCCTGCGAGATGGCCAAACATCTAAATTAAGATATAATTTTTTAGCTATCGATATCATTTTTCAGCCAATGATTCCATTTTGAATAACATTCTGTAACACTTTTAAGCATACATTTCACATCTTTAATTGCATAAACTTCCATCATTTAGCGATTTTATGTTATTAACTCATGATTATGTCTTCAATTGTATAATTTCTTCTGCTTTAATTTAATAATCAACATGTCCAAGTGCAGTAGTTGTTATGGTATTTTACTCGCGCATATATTTTCAATTGCATGAGAGGGGTACCCGAGGTCTTTCTCTACCATGTACTTTTTATATACATGTACAAATTACATATTCAACAAACTAAATCAGCTTTTTAGATTCACCAAATTTAATCATGCCGGACAAAAATGTCTCTTGCCGCACTTAGGAGAGCAAAGTCCGTGTTTCTGATATATTTAAACGTGTATCATTTCAGGTCTATATAAATCTTTGGGCATTACACCACGATGAGAATTTTTGGAGCGACCCTTGGAAGTTCGATCCTCATAGATTTTTAGATTCCGAAGGTCACTTAGTTCCTACTCATCACGAGAATAGACGCAGGTATTGTTTATGAGTCGTATATTATGGTTCTTTTGAAGTCTGAAGTTTGTGATTTTGAAATTTAAATAAGAAAGGAACGGGACGTAAAATGTGCAAATGATATATGTTATGATATTTGTCACGTACTCACGTCACGTGTCGACACGACGTCACGTATGTCAGTACAAACGGGAAGGTAATTGAGCATGATGCTAGCAAAACAGTCTAACCACTGAAACGGATATACTTACTCCAAATAATTATTATGTTTATTTGACTGTGTCTGTCACGTCAAAATGATGCAAACATCTACGTAAATCTAAACAAAAAACAGGAAGCAAACAAGAAAATAAAAACACCGACATAAACAACATTACTACTAGGAAAAACAGAAACAAAACAAAATCAAAAATGTTTGCTAAGTAAAAACTCTGAATAAAGTTGCTATTAAATTTGATCAGTTTTGTGAAAATAAAACATAGAATATTTTCTTACCTACACGAAAATGTTATTGATAAATGACCGATTTAACAAGATTTTCAGATTGTACATGTATATGCATTTTTTTCGTATAAATATACAAAGAGAAAAATTAAAAGTTGTAAATATTTTTTGTTTTCAAATTCAATGTACTTTTTACAGATTCATGGTGTTCGGTGCAGGACGTCGAGTTTGTTTGGGAGAAGCCCTCGCTAAAAACCGTCTTTTTCTATTCACGGTATCTCTACTACAGAAATTCCGATTTGAGAACACTGCCAAAGTAAACGACGAACAAGAAATTGACCCAAGAGAGTTTAGTTTAGGAATTGTTCTTCACCCTAGGAATTTTACTATTAAAGCAATCAAACGGACCGAAGTGTTTGACGTTTCTTTATCAACTTGATGTATGATTTAAAAATAGTGTCGTTCTCATAAATCGAAATTTTAGCTCAATTACTAGGAAGTGAAAAAGAAGGATTTTGTGTACATGAATTGTGGGTTATTGAATGAATAACAAAACTATTTAGTTTGCCGTGCTGAACGTTAAACGTAAAGAGTATATCAAAGTTTCAGTATTTCTTTTTTGTACTATTATTTAAAGTCAAAGACTGATTATGTATGGTCTTTCAAATTATTTTAGTTGTATATCATATTGATAATTGCACAGTCATTATTTACAAAATAAATACAATATCTAAATGAAGCAATGGGTGTTATCTTCAGTGAAGAATTTTGTTGGATTGTCTTTTGTCAATGTTCTCATTTCAAAATAATATGAATTACATAAACTTCCTTTACGGGTGTGGGCTTCAAAAGCAAACCCTGATATCATTGAATGGCCTGGTGTATCAGTCATAATGACCGGGGGATAGGGAGTGTACAGACTTATCACCTCATTTACATATGACTGTCATGATTATCTAAACTTCTAAATAGCACTTTTGATAAGTCTGTAGCTTTCATATTTCTACAAGTACAAATTAAATGTGCAGTAGTTATTTTAAACAACTTTGTGTTCTTTTAAAACTGATGGGAGTGTCTACGGGCAGGCTATAGGTCCTATATGAGTGATCTTTTAAACATATATTTTTATGTTATTGCTTTGGGCCCTTTATATTTGAAAGGTTGATTTAGTGCATTACAATAACAGTACGTCACACTTTTGGTAAATTTGTTTTGGACCATCCCACCTTTTCACCATACACCATAAGATATTGCATTGAAACATGGAATAGTTATTTGTGACCTCCACCCTCATTTTCAGGCAGCAGAGGAAAATCGTCATATTTTCTCTCATTTTACTGACTCTTTTACTTACAAGTCATTGTCGGTATGCCTGCATGTCATGCGAATGAGGAAAGAAAACTCTTCTTTAAATCTGGTATCTTTTTCGAGCAAAAACGTTTAAGGGACATTTCAATCTTTGTCATGACAATATTTTTGTTTATCGCACTCTGACAAGAGTTCAGATTTTTTAACTTGTACATTCAACCTATTTGGTAAAGGATTATTGGTAACCAGCGAGGTATTCCGAATGTTTATATAGGAGACGGAATTGATATCTGCAACATTGTTAGTTCGTGAAATTTCGCCTTATTTTGCCACTCTCCATTAAGAGCATCTTAACAGCTAACCGCTGTTATTTTACGGAAACTGACGAAGTTTGCCGAATCTATAAGCGTCATTAAACGATAGAGTACATTAAAAGAATCACAGTCATTTGACCTCTGGTAAATGTAGGATTAAATTTCAATACACTAATGATTCATTTCGAACATCTAAACATAGAAATTAGTCTCTTATTACAGATTATACCACTTAGAGCTAGACCATCCGACACGGGTTCAAAAATAAGATCACCTCTTTCTTTTAAAACGTAGTTATGGAACATTGGTATTGGGAAACCGTGATGCAAAAATCCCCCTTTAACCTTGTGGTTAATATATAGTGATTGATTATGTTTAATTCTAACTATTTATCAGGATGTTAAATGATACCCTTAAAACTTTTATACATGTTTAACCACAAATGTGACTTACTGTTAAAATCAATGATTAATGGTAAATTTCAACCGAGTTTACACGTCGAATTAATTAATCGTTACTTAATTGAACGTCTTCAATAAGCGACACTGCCAACGCCTTTGTCTGTACCTACAAGCCAGGCAAAGCTGTACATATGTGCAACCTTGACAGACTCTATACTGTTAAATAATATCCCCCATAAAAAAATATAAATAATAATAAATAAAAAAATAACACTGTACAGTTGTTAATGCAAAACAGGGCACGTTTATTTTACAAATGTAGTATGCTTAGAGTGAAAACTGAAGTTTTGTTGATTATTTTTCTGGTTACTCATGACATATGTCCAAACAAAATGCAAATTAATTAAAACGAAAAGCGATATTCACGTTCCTTTTCGTACCTATCAAATTAAATATACAACGTACTATTAATATAGGTAAAAAATTCATATAGACCGTAACCTAAATGCATTGTATTTACAGATAAGGAAAAATGTAGAACGTTCCTTATGTCACTCATATAATCATACGCTAAACAACCGATTTGTTTGTTTTGGATATTGTTATCGTAGATCAGTTACATAAGTGCATGCAGTTACTCAGCAGAAATATTATTCCCTTGTTTTATACCAATTTTTACCTGTTTTCCCCAGTGCATTATATACAGACCATTGGTAACCCCAATTCACTGGCTAGAGAGTTACAGTTATGTTTATTTCCTGTCCGTTACATTTACAGGGAGCTTAAATAAGATTGTACTTCAATAATAAGGGATTTTTTTTGACGGACCGGACATTGCAGTTGCTTTTTCAAAGTATGAATAAAAATATGTCAACAAAAAAGTTATGTCAGTTAGAACAAAACAGAACAAAAGTTCAACTACTTGACCATGATAGTCAAGGTCAAACTTGGATAATAAAACTTATTGGCAACTGTTGTTTTGTACAAATATGAATAAAATTCTTTAAAATAACAAAGTTAACACATAATTATCAAGCAAAATTCAATAATTTGCCCTTAAAGGTCAAGGTCATTTTAAGGTCAAAGTCATATTTGGATTATTCAACATGTCGGTTTTGATATTTTGTTCAAGAATGAATAATTATACAGTACCTGTAAATTAAAAATGACCTTAATGGTCAAAGTTATTTTAAGGTCAAGATCACACCTGAACAATTCAACATTTCGGTTTTTACATCAGTATTATTTTGTCCAAGTATAAGTCAAATTCGTAAAACAATAAGAAAGAAAAGCTAAAAACAGAACTTTGGAATTGACAGTCATATTAAAAATAAGAAAGTTATACCAACAATCTAGACAGGGTTCTCACATGACATAATTCAAAGACCGTCCATGTTGGGTGTCGAACTCCAAGTGATGACAGGAAGTAATTTGAAGTCAGAGACCTTACCCACTCAGCCACGGATTGCGCTACATACAAATGTAAGATCAAATTGAAATGAACCCTCAACGTGTACTGCACCAGGACATGTTAAATAAAATAAAGATAAAGATTTATGACATTTAAAGTTATTAAAGAATTTTACATTGAATAAATTAAGCTGTAAACCAATATATGTATCATTGAAGGGATATTTGCACTTGTGATTCACTATCGTGCACATGAGTTTCTGCTTATATATTTCGTTTATATTTAATGGCGTTGAATGATTCGCCAACAGAATGAAACTTTCCCTAGCAAAATATTCAACTGCTGTTTTATCAGGTTTAGAGCTGATTGCGAGCTTTCGCAACCCGTATTGTCAGAAAGAAGCATTCCTTTATTTTAGGTACTTTGTTAAGATACAAACAAGTATTCTACAACTTCTACAGTCAGTGCAGTTAAACTTTAATCTATCAACAACAAAAATCTGCAGTTTTTATTTGATATGCCATTTTAATATCAACATAAACCATTATTTATCGGAACACGCAGAAGTTGGACTCGGAACCCCGATGGTTGGACAAAATGTTCAGCTAGCCGTCACACCGGGATCCTGTGTAGAGTTTTTACTGCGTTTACACGATGTTCCTATAAAAGCGTTGTAATGGCGTTTATACGCAACGTTACGGTGTCATCATTAGGGCGTTCTTAGGTCTACGTTGATTATGGCGCCCCTATGGTGCTATCAGTGCGTCCTTGGCAGTTGTTTTGAGTACTTTCAAAACATGGCCGTGTCTTTGGGTCCTTAGGCAATGATGGTGTACTCACGGCAACTTAAAGCATTCACAAACACGATCCTACGTCGTCTATTGCGTTTCCACTGCATTCTAGATCATCCTGGGAACGCACTACGGTCGCTAGTACGGTGTGACGGGATAAAGATTTTCTTAACGGCACATAAACATATCTCATGAATTAATTATTAACACTTTGTATACGGAAGAATAGAATGAATACATTGTATTATGAATATTCCCCGCTATTCAAGATTTACGTGAAATGATCTAATTAATACAAGCATTTGTAAGATGGTGAAAGAATGTATTATACCAGAAACCGCAAACGCTTTATTAAGTTTAACTTCCTTATTTTTTCATAGAATAATATAATTGAATGAAATTATGATTTATCAATGAAACGGTGACTTGGCAAAATTTTCTTTTATTATTTCAATATTCATTGGTATGACTATAAGCATATGTTAACACGTCATTCGAAAGGTCCTAAAGCTCTTTTACATATTTCAGTATCACGTACCGTAGTAAAGCTATGGTATAACAAATGTAACAAAAGTTATAGGAAGTATATACAACGCATTTAACAAAAATGAAATACTAGTATTAGTTTGAAGATGCATTTGTACATATTCATTTTTTTTTTAAATCGTAGGTACTTTTGAAATTTGAACTACACTTAAATTTTTTTACTGATAACGCTTGTTTTATGCCCCCTGTGCACGAGTGGTTGCCTTTACGCGTTGAGGCATCAGAATTGCTGCCACGGTTTATCCCTGCGTGATCGTAAGAGGCGATCTACTGGAGTTTATGCATGTCTTATTAAAACAGCCGAGGTTATCCAAAATCATTTCCCTGTGTCGGTGCCATATGACCTAGATTGTGTTGGTGGTCGTGCGACTTAAAACAAAGTATATTCATGCCTTTTGGAAGTTTGTGACAGCACGATGTCCGTCGTGCCTCGTGCATTATCATCCACAATATCTTAAAACATAATCTCTTCCTTAACCAATTGATAGGTTTTAACTTTTGTATGATCTTTCGGTGGCCCTATGTAAAAGTTATATAAATGTCTCAAGTTTGTTACATTACAAGGAAACATGGGCTAAAAATATCCTTCAATAACTTTTTAAAAAATCCTCTACTAAGGAACTGCATTACCCAAAGCTTAAAATTAATATTTAGCATGCAGGATCACATTGAAGCTCTCAGGATACCAGGGTCAAAATCGGCCCCATCTGTGGTCAGTTATGTTATACAGACTTATATAGTTAAACACATTTGAGCCGTGTCACGACAAAACCAACATAATGGGTTTGCGACCAGCATGGATCCAGACCAACCTGCGCATCCGCGCAGTCTGATCAGGATCCATGCTGTTCGCTTACAAACCCTATAATTAGTAGAGAAACTGATAGCGAACAGCATGGATCCTGATCAGACTGCGCGGATGCTGGTCTGGATCAATGCTGGTCGCAAACCCATTATGTTGGTTTTGT